AGTGTCCCAGGAGCTGCCAGCCCCAATGTCCAGCCTGGCCTTGGGCACTGCCAGGGATCCAGGGGCAGCCCCAGCTGCTCTGGGCACCCTGTGCCAGGGCCTGCCCACCCTGCCAGGGAACAATTGCTGCCCAAGATCCAGCCCTGCCCTCTGCCACTGGCAGCCATTCCCTGGCTCCTGGCCCCGCAGCCCTTGGCAATTGTCTCTCTGCACCTTTCCTGCGGCTCCTTCGGGCCCTGCGAGGCCACAGGGAGCCGAGGCCAAAGCTTCTCCTGTCCGGGCTGAGCAATGGCAGCTGTGGCAGCCTTTCCTGGCAGCAGAGCTGCTCCGTCCCTCTGCTCATCCTGGAGCCTCCTCTGGGCCGGCTCCAGCAGTAACCAATAACATTTGGATATTGATGTAACTCTATTGAAGGCAACCCTCAAAAATTCTGATTGTCAAGTGCAGGAAGTCATTTGACTAATACAAACTCTTTCAATTTTTCACGCAAAACTCTCGTGGTTGTGAGTTCTTGATGGTGAAGGTTAAGGATTTTGTCACATTATACAATGAAGTACTTTCAAAACTGAGTCCAAAATGGTTTTAGTCTGCTATCTAAAAATCTCTTTTTTTGTTTCCAATTTACCTGTATTCTAGTCAAAATATGTGGCCTGATGTAAAGTCCACAGAACATTTTATGTGAATTTCACAGCTTTGTCAGATCTCTAGTCCTTCTACAAAAGATTGAAATGTACTACTGCTCACAAATAACTCAGCATGTGGCTCTGAAGAAATAAGTGGACAAATTGCAGGAGTATGAAATTCCATTATCTGCAAGATGCCAGATTAGATGTTAAGAGTTGAAAGGGACTTCACAAAACCGTAAGTCTTCTGAATGAAATAGTTTGTGTTTCTACAGTTTGGAAAGCATCATAATATTCTTTCTATTTCATTCATTCTTCAGATGCTTACCTAATGGATTTTGAGAGAGAAAATGCCTTTTACTGCCTGCCCCCTCAGAGATGGTCTTGGAAAAACCCTTTGTAGAATATTAAAAGTCTTCTGAATAAAAGAAATATTGCTGCACTTCACACATTTTTGGATGTGTGCAAACATTATCTCGTGCAGCTGAAACAGGGAGGCAACAACTTTTCTGTTTGATCCACTGAAAACTGACATGGGTTTGGAACCAGCTGTGATGGATTGGAAGGGTTGTAATGGGAATTAATGACACCTTGGTGCGTGGCTCCGTGGTTATGTGCAGTAGCAGGTTAAAATCACCCTGTAGCCAGAGGGATTTCCATTTCTTACGTATAAGAACTCCTTCTGAGATAGATGCTTGTTCCTTGCAGGTCATTTAAAATATCTAGATGTATTAAATGGATTAAGAAACACTCTAGGCTGGATATACCTGTCCTTTCCATCTCCATTTCAGTGCATACCTCATCACTTCCTTCCAAGAGAGGCTTTGCTGATAAATCTCTCCCAGGACTTGTTTGGGTTGGCACTCTGAGCTGACAAATCTTGGCTTTGCTCCTTCCTAGCTACTTGTTTTCACTTTCCTCCTCCTGGAGCCAGAATAACAAAGCACCTCTTTGAAAAGGGGCTCTTTTTGTCTTGTTTCCCATGAGCTATTGATAAGCAGATTTGATAGCCAAACTCCTTCCCTTTAAAGTCCTGGTTTCATCTCTTTTTCAGTAATCTTTGGTCTGTATGTGTTTACCTGCAGCAGGAATGGGTGTGAAATAAACAGGGGCAGCATAAGTCAGTGGCACCTGGACAGTTTAATTCAAGTGTCTGTGTTGCTGCCCTCAGGGACTAACAAGCCACTTCAACAGATAAAGACCTTTTTTTATTTATTCATATTTTGTGGTAGGTTTTCATCCCAGTGTCTTATACCCAGTTGACACAGATGTATGAGCCATGTCATTATGTAGATTATTTGCCATCTCAGGAGTTTAAGAGCATTTTTCATAGCTCTTAACCCTGAAAAACCTGAATGCTAACACTGAATAATCAAACCTGTAGGAAGGAAAATAATTTCTAATAAAAAAAAATAAAATAAAAACATCAATTGCATTCTTTACTATCTCCTGAAAAGTTTGTTACTTTTTCTTTGGAAAAAACAAAACATAAAAAAATATATAAGAAAAAAACCCCAAAAAAACCCCAAAACCCAAAGATAATTATTTTTCAATGAAAGAGCCCCTTGAAAGTATATTATCAGAATATCATACCTTTTGCTGAGGTTCTTTTATGTGGATTGCTGTGGCATGTGAGATCTTGAAAAAGCTAGCAAAGTAAAAGTAGGGTCTGATAGAGATCTCTGCATGTGTAAGAATTTGTGTTTTTCTTCTAGGTGAATTTGGAACAGATGATGTTCACTAAATTTATTGTCTATCATAAATGACTTAGCATGAGCTACTAATTTGAGGGACTCCCAGGTGTGCACTCCTGCAAAAATATTGCACTGTTGGTCAGAACTTGTTAGTCATGGTGCCCAACTACGAACTACAGCCCATCCAGTCCCATCCAGGCTTTATAATTTTTTATTTATGTTTTTTTTTTTAGTGTACAATTTCTGTGCAAAGCTGCACTCTTTCTTTCACGGTCCTAATTGCTGTGTGTGAAATCATAATTAATTTTTATGGCACACCGGTCTATGCACCGGGTTGTTCATGCACGTCCCTCCTTCAGCTGTTCACACAGCACAAGGCATCTTGTGCCATTCAAATTTCTGTGTGTAGTTCTCTGGTTCTGTGTGTGGGTGCAGTTATTTTATAGTGAATTTACCTGAAATCAGAAACTCTCAGAGCTCCTTATCTTTGTCTTGCCATTCCTCTCTCACTGACTGAATTCCCCTGTGTTTTTGCATGCACAGATTTGAAAGGGAGGTGTGAAATTCTGTCTCAATTGAAACTTCTGCCTTTATGAAGACGTGGTTTCTCAGTATGTCCAGGGTGGCCTTTTGCTGAAATTCATGGATTCTGAAAGGATGTGTATTAGACATGCTCCTCAATGTCACACTGTCAGTCTTGGAGAGATTACCACATTCCTGCTTTTCACAAAATTTGAAATGGAAATCTGGGAAATCTTAAATAAATGGCTGCAGAAAATTTATTCTCCTGCAGCATTGGGCAGCCTCTGTAAATATTTCTAATTTACTGGGGAGAAGTATTAATTCTTTGCAAGCATTGCATAAAATAACTCCCAACAAACACACGTGAGGGAGAGAGAAGAAATCTCAGTTCTGTAGCCATATAATAGAGCTGTCATAGCACAGGGTAAACAGCAGGCTTCTCTAGGCAATGTACAACAGTCAAACAGGCACAAAGTTAAAAAAAAAACCTTTTTTTTTGTGGCGCAGGGAGCGCTGAGCTTAGTGCTGTACAAACTTGACATTGTGTTTGAAATAAACAACGCTGAAGGTGGTTTATTCTCTGCATTCTTCAGCTGGAGCTTTAGCAAAGCTGAGATCCAGTAATACTTCATGAGTTTAGCTGTAAACACAGCGTGAGATGTTAGAACATTAATTCTCAATGGAGTTGCTGTGACCTTTTCAAAACCAAATTGAAGTCAATTTGCACACACAAGCCAGCCCAAAGAATCACAAACCTTTCGTAGTGCTCTGTGTCAGTTTAATTTGATTGAATGCATTCTTCTCCAGAATGATCACCTGATGACTCTGAGGACTCAGTAGTCACAGAGGTTAAGCGAGCTTCATAGGTAGGGGGAATTACTTCAAATTGATGAACTGCTTCACCTCAGGTTCTCCTTGTTTTATCACTTTCAGATAGTTTTAGTGAGGAAGATTTGATTTATAAATTGAGCTGTGTCACATACTGCAGATATTTTTCAGGAAGCAATTTTTTCAGGTTGCTGGCAGTGCTTTAAGGCAGGAGTACTCCTAATTGGGTCAGATCCTGTCCTGGCAGATTTGGGCAAAACTCCATTGGCCATACCAGTTTGTACCAGCAAGAAAGTAATCCTCTCTGGCCAAACTTGTTAAACATAGATCCAGAAGAAAGAAGCACTCACGGAATAGTATTTCAGCACAAGGTTTCCGATCTCAAGTCAGTTGGCCAAGCTTGAAATATGGGGCTTTTTTCTCAGTCTGTTGTATCCTTTTCCAATTTTTTTTTTTTTTTAAATTTAATTTTAATTAGGATAGCTTCCATTGTCTGGAACAGAAGGTTTGAAGTAATGTTTGTGCTGAAAGGACAAGTTTAAAAAGTGTCTATGGAATCTGGGACCATAAATCTTGGAGGAATTCATGAAGCTTTCTGGAGCTAAAATCTTGCCTTCTTAGATCTTCTTTCCTCCTCTTTATCTGCCAGGCTACCTAGGGGAAAACTGAGAGGTTTTCAACCTGTGGGAGCGTGTAAATAATTCAGAGTGAGTGTAAACAGAAGAAAATTACTGGACTTCAGTCATGATACCTTCTGAGTGAGAGCTGACCTTTGAATCTGTGATATTTTTTCTTATTTGCTGCATAATGCTTTAAAATTCCAAATAGCAACAACTTTGTAAAGCAAAACTTTATTCAGTGACTTAGGGTCCAAGTCTAGTGAAGAGTGATTGATGTCGGTGCTGTGGTGTTCCTAGGAATTTGAATTACTCTATACTAAAGGAAAATGGGGATGCAGAGGGAGTTATTTCATGTCTTATTTTGTTTTAGACTTTGCCTTGCTTAGCTTTGTCTAGGTTCAGTTATTAGTGAAGGTTAATTAGTGTCTAAATCTGAGGAAGCAGTTGCAGCAGGTTGGTCTGAAAAATGGTTTTCATCTTGTCCATTACTCCTATTTGCTGAAAATGTAGGAGAAGGTAGCTCAGGCATGGGTTTGGGACCAAGGGCATGCATCAATCAACAAAGAGAAACACACTGAATTTACAACAAATTGTTGAATTTTGTATTTTTTTTTGCTTTTGGTTTATTTTTTTCTCCGGTGGATTGCTTGTGCTTCATGTGCCTTAGGGATTATGTCACTTAGGGATTATGAAAAGCTCTTTTTTTCTTGCAGATCACCCGGTGAATGAATTTTTGGATCTGTTCAATCGCCACATGCTTCCTCATGCAATAGATGAAACCCACATTGATGCAGACTCAGCTCAGACTGAACCCTGTACTTCAGACTCTGTGCAGGATTCGTCTGAATATATAATATTGGATCCTTTCTTTCAAAACTATTCAGAGTTTGAAGAAGATGAAGACTGTGAAAATACTACTGATGTTACAACTCCCCCAGCTTTGCAGTTCATCAATGGGAAGCAGCAAGTCACGAGTGCACCTAAGAGCACAAAAGCTGAGGAAGCCAGGAGTGACCAAATTGAAAGCGTTGCACATTCCAAAAACGTTACCTTTTCTCAAATCAATGAGACAAACACATTTATAATAAATGAGCCTGAAGCTTCTGGTACCATGCAACCAAGCAAAGCTGGAGAGGTAATAGGGGCGTTTGAGGTGACACAACCAACTTCAGGGGCTGCAATGTTAGAACCTGTCTATAGTGGGGAGTCTGAAGTTGTTACAACAGATAAATCAATAGCCACCACTTCTTCACAAGGGCAGTCTCTGCAAAACCGTAGAGCGACCACAACATGCCAGGGAACTGAGGAAAACTCTACTAAAGACAGCAAAAACCTGCTTTTGATTTCTAGTGAATCCTCTGGAGATGGCTCCACTGAATCTGATCTGTCCACTTCGTTCTTAGAGGTTGTGACAGGGTCAAGAAAGGAAGAGGATGAAAAATATCCTGGCATAACATCTTCTCCTGATGCATTTACTGTGGAAAGTTCTGCTATAACTGCTTCTCTGGAGGCAGTTTTTATTCCTACTACAGTAGACAAAGGTGTAACCGACCTTATCCCAGAAGAGGCAACCCCTGCTCCAGGAGACCATTACAAAACAACTGTTAAACTTAATGCAAATTCCCCAGTTGAAAATATTCTGGAAACAAGTCATACAGCAAAGCCTGAGATGAGTGCTGCTTCTTTTATGGTTCTGGAAGGCTCTGGAGATGTGAAAGATAGCATCACTGTAATTTCAGCTGTGACTGAGGAAATAGCAGTAACAGAAACACTTCCAGTGCAAGACATTTCTTTGGGCTCCAACACAGCACTGCTGACAGAATTTTCTGTAACTGATTCAGGAATCACCTCCCCTTTGCCCAGAGCTATAAGTACTCCTTATTCTGCTTTTGATCAAAGTCCTGAATTAACTGCTGCCACCAACTCTGTGCCTGAGCTTGTTACAGAAAAAGTGTTTGCCAGTTCTCTTGTAACTGAAAAGAGTATTGATGATGAAAAAGAAATGCACACCACTGTTTATTCAGGTCACCAAAATTCAGCTACTGCTGCAGAGGAAAATTTGGATTTGAATGAACTTGGGAGCACTACAAGTGAAGTCAGAACTGTGAGTCAAGAGCCACTCAGAAAAACAGTACCAGGTACCATAAGTTCTGAAACCAAAAAGGTCACCACCATTCCTCTCTTGAGAGAGAAGAAGCTTTTTGTAATTGAAGGATCAGCAGAAGAGCCAGCAGACATATTTTCAGGGGGTCCCACAAGCAAAGTGGTAAGTATTGGCTCCCCGTTTATTGATCCAGGTTCTGGAGACATAGATTTTATCGTTGAGTCTCCTACTTTGACTTCGGTTCCGTTGAGGCCTGTCACTGAAACACAAACAGAAAGGTATGAAGGAACAGTTTACAGCACAGATGATGCTTCACCGAAGGATGTGACAACAGAATATGAAAAACATGCAAGAGCAGATGAATCTGCAGTTACAGTTTTGAGTACTGGGTCGGAGAGCTTCACAGAGGGGTCTGGAGTAGAAGGTCAGATGTCTTTGGATGTGTTTAGTACAAAAAAACCAGGAGAACCAAACATGGAAACAAAACCAACCTACACAGCTCCTTCTGACATAAAATCTGGCTCTATAAAAGAGATAACATCTCACACTGCACCCGGAATTGAAACTGGAGATTCAGAAATGGGTGAAGAGGCCACATCATCTCCAGGATCAGTGATCAGTAACAGCCCTCGTGAGGACGTGGTGACACATGGTACTGGCAGTATAAAAGCAGTAGCTGAACCTACAGAAAGCAAAGATGCAAAAGTTGTCTCTTCAACAGTCTCGTTGGGCAAGATTTTCCTGATTGAGCATGGCTCTGGAGAAGAATTCAAAGATGACAGCAGCACCACAAAACTTATGTCTAATGGGCCTACGGAAGAAATATCTGGAGGTCATTTCTCAACTACTGACCAGGGATCTGGAGAACCAGACACATCCACTGGATTGTTTGCAAAAACAGCAGTTGCCCCTAGTGGGAGGCCAGAAACATGGGAAGAGGATGACAGACAAGCTGTCACCACATCGTCTCTGGAGCTTGCCTTCACTACAGATCCTGATGAGCAGGTCACGAGTTCTGAACACGAGGTAACCTCCATGGGAACTGCAGAGGACATGGGAACTGAAGAGAAAACAGTTGATGAGCTGACAGTGAGAACTTTTTCTACAAAGATTCCTTTGATGGAAGAGATCCACTCTGGGGAAGAGAGGCCAAGTGAAATTTCACCAAAAGCTACGGAATCTTCTGAAGGAACAACAACAGACCCATTCTTTAAAGGTACACAGACTAGCCATGAGCATCTGGGAGTTTTAAATGTTCCGACTCTCAGTCCATATCTGGAAGAAAAGGAATTAGAAACTGAACCTGCTCAAAAAATACTTCTGCCATTTAGTGATGACAGAGTAACCGAGCCTGTGACAGTTGACAGGAAATACATAAGCTCTCCAGTTACAGAGCAAGAGGAGGAGCTGGTGCAAAACATTTTCCCTACAAGAGATATTCCCAGAACATTCCTGACACCTGAGGAAGATAAACTGTCAAGTAATGAGCTCATTGGTGATCCATTGTTTTCAGGACAGGGGTCGGGAGACGACCTTGCTGTTCATCCTTCTGTAGTGCCATTTATTGTCAAGGAAATCAAGAGTACCTCAGGTCCTCAGACTTCTCACCCTGCAAATACACAACCTGAGCCTTCCACTGACATGACACAAGACTTTGAAAGAGGAAGCACTCCAGCAAATGTTGAAGTTAATGAAGGAGTCACAAGTGCTGTAGCTGAGCTGCTTCCAGAAACTGGAGACCCATTCCCCACCTCCACGTTCCCCAGTTCCCCAGCTTTAGCAGAAGACAGCTCCAAGAGCTTCATCTCTAAAGAGGTTGAAGACACCACACATTATTTTGTTGCAAATGAAGAACCCCAGGAAAAGGAAACTGACTATAGGAGAGGAGAAAATGAAACAGATAAGACAACACCCACTTCTAAAGCTATTTCTCAAGAGGAAAATTTGTATTTTCTGGTGAAAGGTGGCGCAACTCCTGTATCTGTTATACTGAGTGGAACTCCCAGTCCTGAAACAGAGGAATCTCTTATAACATCAACAGTAAAAACACCAGGCAGAGTATTACCTGAGAGTTCTGGGGAAGGATCTGGCTGGGCTGGTGTTTCAGATTCATCTTCCCCTGGTATGTTTACTCATTTCTCAATGCCCACTGTGTCCAAAGTAGAACTAAATGTCTCATCCAGTGTTCCTGGACATGTTTATTCCAAAGTTATGACCACAGAGGCACCGAGAGATGGATCACAGACTGCAATCACAGGACCAGCCTCCCTTTTTACAGAAGAAACAGAGATTGTGGCAAATCCATCTGCTGTTCATCCAAAGACAGCTTCTTCAGAAGAACTAACAAGCGACGCTGGGTTATATGAAAAAATTATTCCCATGATTGATGACAGAAGAAGTGTTATATTGAATGTTTCTGTTTATGGTGATATCACCCTGATTGAAGAACGACTGCAAACCCCACCAGAAGAAACAACTATTATAGACATGGATCACTCAAAATCAATGCCTGAGGATATAATAAGTGTGCAGACGATGCCAAATCCTGTTACACAGTCAACATATGGCTATGATGATAGCATGACAGCTGAAGGGGAGAAATATTATTCCACTCCCAAGTTTTCCATAGCCAAAGAAACGACACTTGGATCTGGTGATAATCTTCCTCTGACTACTTCCAGTCCACCAAGTAGAGAGTTGGTGACTTCTGGGCACACACCAACCTCAGATGACATGGAACTGGGTTCTGGGAATGACATGAATCTTGCAACAGAAACTCTCACCACCACTGAACTCTCTGAACTGGGCATTTTCCTTCCTACAGTGCCATCTCTGGCAAGCCCTCAGGTGCCTCATGAGTCTAAACCTGTTGTAACCAGCCCCACAGAAGACACCTATGAGCCAAGTACTTCAGCAAACAATCAAGTAATAGCAGATCAAAGTGAAACAATCTCTGGCTTTTCTGGGATGGGCCAAGAAGAACTGGCTGATAATCAGCCTGTGTTTCCTTCTCTTGCAGCAGTTGTAACTGCTGAGCCAGAAAAGGCTTTGACAACTGGCAAGCTTGAGTTAAGTGCTGTCAGCACACAGCCCACATCCCAGCTGACAACTGTGTCACCTACCAAGAGCGCAGGGAATCGTCCCACGGTGTACACAAACACAAAATCAGCATCAGCAGAGTATGAGGAAACAGATCCAGTGAGTTTTCATTCTGTTCCTCAAACTCCTGAATCCTCAGTAACTGTTCATTTAGTAAACAGAGTCTCTGAGTACCCTGAGGTAATCATTACGAGCACATCATCATCGTCATCATCATCATCATCATCATCATCATCATCATCATCACCATCACAGGATTCACATCAGTCCAATCATTCTTCAGGAGGGATCTTCAAAGAGGTCAGTTCTGATATTACAGCAACATACAAACCAGCCACTACTGATCTTCTTGACACAACAGAGTCCTCTCTGCTGGAGCTTTCTCCCAAGCCTGTTTCAGACAGCACAAGCACGGAAAGCACTCCTCACTTTGGTAGGCTTCTAACAGTTGGGATAGAGGAGACAGAAACCCCTGTAACTGATTTGGCTGGTGAGGAAGAAGCTGCTGTTTCTGGAGATTCTCCATCGATACATGTCTTGCCTACTGCGTTTCTGAATTTTGGAGAAAGAGCGAGCACAGATGTTCCAAAAGTCAGCACGACAAAAGTCGAAGCTTCCTCAGGGAGAGTCAGTAATCCCCACCAAGAGCAAGACAGGAATACTGAGAGACAGAACCCCTGGCTCTTGTCCACAACTGTTTCAGACTCACCCAACAGCATTGAAAGTGAAGGATTTAAACCTGGCCAGGAAGCAGTTACAATGCTAACCTCACCTTCCCAGCTTTTGGATGGAGGCACAGAAACACAGTCAGCTTTGTTTGGTCATGGGGAGATCACAACCATCTCTTCTAACATTGCAACAAACAGCATTGCCCCTGGAAACAGCCCCTACCAAAATGAGCCATCAACACTGAGCTCTGAGGAGCCAAACACTGTGGAAGTCGTAACTTCGTCATTTTCCCTTCTGGAAGTCACGAACGGATCAGATTTTGTGATTGGCACCAGTGTGGGTTCAGTTGAAGGCACAGCAGTGCAAATTCCAGGTAACTTCCCAAATATGATCCCTGTCGTGTTTTGTGTGTTGTGGTACTTGTCAAGGTGTTGCCTGGGCTCTGGTAAGAGGTGTGACAATCTGAGCTCTGTGTGAAATGACAACGGACCTCGTCACCCTCCAGCTGAGAAATCAGCCTGCTTGTGACCCCTACAAAGTGGAGGAGGATGTGGGGTGCCAAAAAATCCCAAGCCCAGTGACTTTCCATTGGTGTTTGCATCGTGGAGCTCTGGATCAGACTGGAGGTAACCAGCCAGTTCTAAAAGACAGGAAGGTGGCATTGGTTGTGGTAGGGAAATCAGCTGATTTCACTTGCCAGTTTCCAACAGATGATTTTATCTGATGGCTTTTCCTGTGAGTGTGGTGATAGTTCTTTCACAATTGGTTTCCATTAAAGGGTTGTTTTTATCATCTTGCAGTTGGCTTAGAAAGCAGCAGTGCACATTTTAGTGCGTTTTACTTATTTTTTATAAAAATGAAATTCTCTTGGCGTACAAGATGGCTTTCCACACAAGAGAAAACCAAGACCTTGTTTTCAGCCTGTCTGTAGCTTTAAGTGGTTGATACGGTGTAGTCTCTTAAAAATTACAGAGCTTTTTGTTTAGACAACATTTGCCACAGTATTTTGTTTCCCATTATAGTGTTGGGCACCATTTCATCAAGTACATGGGTGATACCAGCAGTGTCACTTCATTTCATATTTTGTCCAGATACAGCCAAGGAAAGAACTGGACTTGTCTGATTTTATAGGTTTACTATTATTTTTCCTCAAATAATCCAGGTAGCTGACAATTTGAAGATGTTTACAGTGGAAATACCCAGGCTGTAGAAGGACAGACAGCAAACACACAGAAACCACCATTAAGGTGCTTAAATGGAGCCCTTCATTTGTGACTTTCAGTGAAGCAGTCCAAAAACAAGCACCCTGTTGAATAGATGGGATCAGATCCTTTCCAAAACCTCCAGGGTGAAATCCTTAATTTACTTCATTACAATCCTAAACTTATGTACGTAGGACATTCTTCTGGAGGTTTTCAGATGGACCTTCTGCATTTCCCTGCCTAGACAGGGAACTTGGTACTGTAAGAAGATTTTGAATCTAACTTGCAGGAGTAAAATAGATTTTTTTTTTTTATTATTTTTTTTTTTTTTTTTTTTTTTTTTTTTTTTTGGTGTGATAAATTGCAGTCAGATTGTTTTGGGAAAACATGACCGAAAAATCTTAGTTTTTCTCATGCTTCTGATGTACAGAACTCTCTTGTCCATTTTCTAAGTTTTAAAAGCCAGGGCTTTATTTCTGCATATCAGAAGGACTGTCTTCAGGATTTCCCTCTCACTCTGAGAAACTAACTCTTAGAAATGGTTTAGTGTGGACTTGTTTGTGTGAGTGAGTGCTCCTAGGCATGAAATCAAATGCAAATACCCAGGTATCTAAACTCAGTGGAAATAAACATCACTGGAAGGCATAAAGCTCTTCAAGGAAATGGTGTTTAAACGCTAACTCCTGTAACAACTGAGGATTTCCCAGCAGGTAAGTTTTTATCTTAATGTTCAGTCCAGTTACAAATGTATTCAGTGACTTTGTTTGTATTCTTGAAATGCATTTTTAAGAAAGGCAGGTGGGAAACACACATGTGAGAAAAGAAGTAAGATTCTGTGGGCATTGATTGATTAAATATAAGCAGCCAGTCAGTATGTTCTGTGTACCCTGTCATTCTGCATAAACTAACCCTGTTCAAGAAAAAAGCATTTTCCATTCATTTTGCATATGTTTAACTGTTTTCAGCTACAATTAATTGCCATGTCATGCAAACTAAATCCTCAACAGAGTATCATGACTGCCAAATATAGTACAAATTGCTGTGAAAAAAAAAATAAAATCCAAGAGTAATTTACACTGGTTTGTAGTAAATTCCATATTGTTGTTAAAGTTGAAAGTAGTGATGCTTGAAGACCAGCTTTACTGTTTTATAAGTCTTATTTTTAGTAGTTGAGTATGTTAAATGGAGTTATGCAGCAACGCAGCAATGAAGAAAGATTTTTTTTTTTTCCTCCTGTAAATCAAAAGTACACCATTTCCTTCAAACTAGGGAGTAAAATTCCTTTTTCTACTTGTTTAACAGGCCAAGATCCGTGCAAGAGCAGCCCCTGCCTCAATGGTGGTACCTGCTACCCACGTGGTTCCTTCTACATCTGCACCTGCCTGCCAGGTTTCAGCGGGGAGCAGTGTGAATTAGGTAAACTGGTGCCATCTGGGTCCTGATTAACTCCACTTTAAAGCTCTTGCACATGAAATCTGGTGTGCTTCCAAGCTGAAGGCTGCATGGACATCTGAAAAATCCCACACCCTGGCCTTACTTCGGGACAATTAAGTGTAGAGTTCCCCATTTTCTCCCCATTTTTCCCTCTCCCCATGAAGACCCCACACACACAGGGTTTAAGGGAGCTGTAAACCAACTGCAGGAGCTGGAATTCACAGCAGTGAATTCAAAACCACACCATATAAAACGGAACAGAGATTAGTATTTGGGATAGTTCCCTAAGAGATTCCCATGGTTATTTGAAGGGCTGGTAAGATAAACTGATCTCAAATGTGAATGGGAAGCTGAGCACTGAACACAAACTTGAAAATTCTTGCAGGAAATTTAAAATATTATTATAATCATATGCTTCCTTGATACAAATAAGTATTTTGGTAACAACTGTAGCTGAGGAACCTCTTCCAGTTGCCTGTGACATCTCTGTACCTCCTGTGACTGTAGATTTCAAGAGACTCACCTATGTGGTTCAGAATAACCAATTTTCCTTCCAGAAAGCCAGCCAAAGTATGATAAAATGACTGGAACAAGTAAGACCTAGCATAAAATTGGACCAGAGCATATTTTAAAATAGAAATGTATATTTTTTAAGCCTTCTACATGATGCAGCAATTATTCCTGGTTGTTTGTTGCTTTGTAGATATATCCAGCTTCTCTCTTATATTTTAATGAATGAACCACAACCAGCAGTTCATTTTTGGATGGAGGTGTTTGCTAAATCTGTGTTGAAGTTTATGCTCTGATTGTTTCAGAGGAATAGCACCCATTAGGAAACTTCAGGTGACCTTTACTAAGTGACACACTAGCTTATAACCTCTGCAAAAGCAACCTGTGCTGAAACTAATTATATAAAATGAACTTGTGCTCCAATTTGAGTGGTGAAGGCAAGGTATTTTAGCAGCTAGAGGAGGCAGGGACTGATGTTATTTTTTTACTGTGCAAGACCATGAGTGATATGATGTTCTGTCCTTGTCTCGATAAGATTGGGCAAGAAAGAAATGAGAAATGCAAACCAATGAGATTCCAGAGCCTGCTGCCTTGCAGGCTGAAGAGTCTGTTTAATATTACATGATAAGATTTCCAATATTTGAGTTTTGTGAAGATTTTCATGGTCCTTGGTGGTTAATGGGAATTTCTGTTTTGCCAGGGTCACACACACACAAGTCAGATTTTCCAGCAGGATAACGCTGCATGGCATTCCTCTTTCTCAACCACACAGTGACCACTGGGATCTTTTGCAATGCTTCATTCCTCTGCTCTGAACTGGTCCCAGTCAGCAGCCTGACTAAGGCTGCAGAACATTTCCCTCCTGGGAGCTGGGTGGGTGATGAAACCACTTTTATTTTCTGCTGCAGATATCGATGAGTGCCAGTCCAACCCGTGCCGGAACGGAGCCACGTGCATTGACGGCCTCAACACCTTCACCTGCCTGTGCCTGCCCAGCTACATCGGGGCTCTCTGTGAGCAAGGTAAGGGGTCTTCCCTCACCTGTGCTGCTGGACACCCATTTCCAGCCCAAAACCCTTCTGGAGCAACAGGGCAAAGCCTCCTGAAAATGAGAAGGTGGAAGAAGCTGACAAAAATCTGCGGGAAGTCACCAGTGATGAGGAGAGCTCCTAATTTTTGTTAGACTTCCCTGACTTGTGGTGCAGGGTTTTTTTCCCATCTCTCACTTGGCACAAGCCCTATCCACACACTAACCTGAATGGAAGCTGTGTTGCCATGTACAAAATATAAACTGATATATGGGGCAATTCCTGTGTCTAAACAACAGCTCTCAGGTGTTGCTTTTCAACAACAATTTTCAGGTGGCTCCAAGCCTCCTTGCTTATGCAGGCTTGCAAACTGCTGGGATGAGAGATGGCAAGGCTCTCTCATTACTCTAGTGATGCTTAATGAGTGGCAGCAGAGCTACTTTGTGGCTGAGTTTCTCTTAGAAAATTACATGTGGTGTGAAAGATGTATCGGAACCCATCACATCCAAAAAGCATCAGTGAGATGCAGGAATATAAATAAGAAAATAAGACAGATTCATCCACTGGGGACCACAGCTTTGACAGTTTCATCCGACAGGTTTCTAAATTATTTGTTCTGGGATTATTTTAGGAAGAGTAGGTGCAAGATTATCACTACAAGGAGATTTTAAAAGGCTTTCTAAGCTGGGCAGCTGAAATAAGATTGAATATCCAAAGCCTGTAGTTGTTAGAAGATTGTCTGCAAGAAACCCCACTGAATTTACAGGAAACATTTACAGGAAACATTAAGCAAGATGCTTACTCAATATGTGGGAGGAGGAATAGGGTAGCAACATTTGTTCTGTCAATAAAATTAATGAAGGCATTTCCGTGGGAAAAAGAAATTAAAGAAATGGTGAATTACAACATGCTTGCTAAACTTATGAAGATATTTTTTTCCTTTTCCTTCAGCTGAATGATTTTGGTCTCAGGTGAATGAACTAAGCCTTTGGAGTTGTTTAATTAATATTGTGTATTTTCATGTTTGTTTCTCAGCTTCAGTGAAGAGTGGTTTGCAAACTCCTCCAGCTCAACCTGTAGAGATCTGTTTGTTAGAGATGAAAAATTTCAGAGCTGATCAGCTCCAGCATTTTTACTGTTTAACCTTTTCAGCAGTCAGGCTAACCTTGTAACTTGAGAAGGCTTTCTGAATCTCGTCTCCCAAATTTAAAATTGGCAGTGTTTTCACACCAAAAGAAATAAATGTTCTCACTCCCTTCCTCCTCCCCTTCATTCCAGCAAATCCGTAGCAGTGAGTGGCTCTGAGTGCCATGGTAGCTTTAAGCTGCTTTTTATGACCAACCTGAGAGTGAATTTTAGGTGGTTAGTGGGAACATTTCCTAGTTTGTCAATCAGAACCAGAGCTGTGCTCTCTCAGCTTTGGAATTTAAATTTCCTCCACTTAAAGTCCTGCAGTGGTTTGGGACTTGGGAAAAGGTTTCAGTGCCAAATTTCCACTCCACCAGACAAAATAAAACTGTGTTGGCAATTCAGACATGGTTGTCTGGCAAGCAGGCTTTATTTCAAGGCATCAGTCCTGACCTCACTAGATTTAAAGACTAACCAGGTCGACAGAATGTGCACCTCGGTGCCACAGGAAAGGAGGAGCTCAGCACACCAAGATTATATTTCATTACTTTCTTTTTTTTTATTTATTTATTTTTATTATTTTTTATTTCAAATTTACTGTTCATTTTAGAGAGCTTTAAAAAAAAAAAAAAAATCAGGCTGAAGGGATTTCTTAGGCACAGTGCTGAGCATTCAAAATGCTGTGGGAGGGAATGGGAGCAGGGAACATGCACTGCCCTTGGAAATGAAGCTCAGAGTAGGAGGTCACCACATCTACACCCACTCCATTGGTGCAGAGGAAAATGCAGAGCTCAGAATTTCACCCAAATGCTCCTGTGGGACTGCTCTGGACTAAGGGACCTTCGACAGGGGTACCATGCTTGTGTCAGCATCTGGAGGGGACTTGACCAGAGGACAGCACAGCTGCATGTCAGGGAGCTCTGGCAGGTGGTGAAGGGAAAGGAACCTTCTGGGTGATCTAATCCAGGCTGAGACAAATCAGTCCTGAGACTCAGGGAGCTGGAACTGGCTCCCTGACAGCCCTTCCTCTTGCCAGGTGGAAGGAGTTCAGCAATCTGAGCGCGGGAACATCTTCCTGAAGAGAACTGAATTTGTCAGATGTTAGAAATAGTGCAGCTGAAAGCTCCTTGGAAAGTTTGCCTTTAGTTAAGTTAAGGCAGCATGACTTCTGGTGCAGGTGAGACTAAAAGGGACAATATCCTCTTTTGCCCACCACCTGTATCCTTTCAAAGATGCATATTCTGCTTGTTGACATTTTAACATAACCCATTAAAATTCATAAATATTCCCAAAACACTTTTCCAAAGACTGACAGGAGACTACAGTAAATCTTGGTGTGAGTTTTATTCTAGGAGATCCATTAGTCTTTCCATTGTCATCCCTCTGTGAAAAGCCCCTATGACAACTCTCAGGAAATGGGAGAGACTTGCAATTTGAACCTCAATTTATGAGAACTGGATGAGCACCTCTGTGGATTTTCTTCTTCCTTCCTTGGCTGGCTAGAGTTTCCTTTTATTTTTCTCCTTTTTCTGCTCTAGCTGGTATCTACCTGCTTTCAAGGAATGTTTTAAGCTTAAGGTTTGGCTTGCTTGCAGCTGGACATGTGTGCAAAAATGGCACGTGTGTTTGTAACAGAATGTGCCTCCTTGGGATAATACAACTAGCTGCTTTCTTCCAGGTTCTGAAAGCAAAACAACTGTGGGTTTTAACCACCCTATCAGGAATCAAAGTGTGTTCTTTGTTCATTGTTTCAATGTCTGTGATTACTCCAGTCTCATTTAATTCACTTTGTTCCCAGGGCTTGCTTGGTTGGTGTTGAAGTAGTTGAGAAGGGCTCAGGGAAAAGATACTTTCTGAAAACAGATGGTCTCTTAATGATATCTATCAGCTGAAAAAGGATTATTTTGGATATTTACTAGAGAAATGGGTTTCTCTTCGAGATGAGTGGGCTAAGTGGCCTCCAGCACTTCCTCATTAGCTGAAGACAGAGAGTCACTGATAAAATTCACAGCTAAGACTCTCATTATGTTCTGGTACCTGTGTCAGTCTATTTGCTTTAAGCCTCTTCTGGAATTTCTTTGAAGACAATGGACCTGTTGTCAGCAGCTACTGAAAAAAACAGTCCCTATTTATGCATCAAACCTACAGAGAACCCTTTTTTTTTAAGGCAGTGCTTAGGGATGTTGTTACACATGTTCAATTGTGGTTACAGAGAACAGAAGCTGGGAGAGCAACTCCCTGCACACACCACTGCAACCCCCTGTAAATTGTCATAAACCCCAGGGGAGTTTTAGAACACCACAAACAGGGTGAGCAGTGCTTCGGTCTTTCCATCACATGCTGGAATAAGGTTACAGAAATCTGTGTCTGGGTGCACAATGGATGTGAAGTATTGCATTCTTAATAAGTGCTTGCACCTACTCTGCTCACTGGGGCTGGGTCAGAAAATTTACAGCCACCTGCAATTTGTGTCAAATGGTTCAGTAAAGGCACTAAAAATTTATACCCATGTGGAACACTTTTGCCTTTTTGTCACCCTTTCAGCTTTCTTCACTGAGTAAGGGTTTCACACTGAGGACAAAACTCTGCAGAAATGAACTTGCCCCCACAGTTTTACTTGCCTGGTTTGCATTTTTCATCTTCTCCCCTCTCGAATCTTCCTTTCCCCATTTGTTTTTTCCCTCCTCTCATCAACCTCTCCTCTAAAGAAAAAAACTTAAACCAGCCCCCAAAAATGCCAACAACAGCAAGCACCAAAATCAAAATTCATCAAAAAACAAACTCCAGAATCCCTAAACACTCCCCAAGCCCCAAACAAAAAAATCCTCTTTTCCACCATCTAAAAACATCATGCATTTTATAACCATCAGTTCTGGTATTTTTTTTTGTTTGTTTGTTTGTTTTTGGGTTTTTTTTAGATTTGGGATACACGCAGGTGCAGAAGTTCCTTTTCCCTTTGTCAGTGCTTGGCACCTTTTGCCTTAAGAGAAATTGTGCTGTTTATAATTCATGCTCAGGCCATTATATCTAACTTTGTAAACACAGTCCTCTCACTTTTGTGTTTTCAAGCCTCCCCAATGTGCCTTTCAGCAGATCTTCTCTCAAATCCTTCACTTCTTCCCTAGCAGAGACCAGGGAAGGCTTGATTAGAGTAGCCTGAAAATCCTCTCTGGCCACGTTTTTCTCAGCTCCTTGTTATTATCTGGCTTGTTTCCTGTGGGACAAAGGAGTCCCTGAACAAGATAAATAATAAAACCTTAAGTGCCTTCACAAAGGACCTAGGTCTGTTAGTCAGCCTCATGTGGTTAAACAAATGTTCTAGAAAGCCCGAGGCAGACTAAACTTTAAAAATTACCTAGATGACAGAGATTAAAGCTGTGCCTGCAGCCTGCACCTCACACAGAATACAAAGAGGGAAAAGATAAAAAAATAACCATTTGGTTATGTAGGTTACATTCCTTTTTTCATAGCTGGGATGACTCAAGGCACAAGCAGTTTTCTGCAGTTCAACTTGCTGGAAATAGAAGGGAGACAATCAGTGTAAGCTTTATTATGTCTTTGCATTTGGTGCATTTATGTCAATACTGCTGACTTTTGGGAAATGATTTTGATATCAGACTACTAAGATAATGACTACATTATTAGTGTCAGAGAAATTCTGATAAGCCTCTGATGTGACATGTTTGCAGTTTGAAATCCATTTATCTACATGCAAAATCTAGTTTGCGCCATGGGAGATTTTAACCCTTTTTTTAAAAAAAAATAGACAATTTGGTGTGTCAGGATGGAAATGGCCTCTTCCTGCTGTGAATTAAGAGCTTGTGCTGTGAATGACTGTTTTTTTTTAGGTGGTAGCAGCTCAAACCTAAGTAATCCCTTGGTTAAGGGCCATCAGTCCTTGGCATATCCTGCAATATTTGGCTGTTTCTGTACTCGGGCAGAAAGAACCCTTTTGGCCAAAGCATGTCATTGACCACTGACTGCACTGGCTTACTGAAAATGGGAAATCCAGTCTCCAGCCCAGAGCATCTCCATAACTCTGGAAAAGCTGGAACAGCTGGCTTCAGACACGGTTTTGCTCAGGGGACTGATAAAATTTGGTGGGAAGTGACCGATTCCTGTTGGGTGGGTGGGGTGGGGGAGGCCAGGCCTTGTGTTTCAGTTCTCAGCATCCTGAGGCCCCTCAGGGTGAGCCATCCCATGCTGAGATAGCTGTGGCTGTAATCTTGTGCTGAAATGTCCTTTGTGGTGCCATTGCATCTGTCATGGCTTGAAACTCTCTGCCTTTCCCCTCTTGTTTCTCCCACTCCTCCCTAAAACTCCCTCTTATCACTGGCAAGTCCTTCCCGTCCTCAAGCACAGCCCAGACACATTCAGACATCACACTTCTCTTTCCCATCTTATTAACACTGATTTTTTCCTGTGATTCATCCCTGCAGAAGCAAACTTGGAAGCGAAACTCTTGTTTTTTGCTATCTGTTCTGCTAACAGCTGCCTAACCTTGACAGAATAATTAACGTCAAGTCCATGGCTTGTTCCTGTTCCAAGGCTTGTATTTATTTCTCTTTGAGCTGAAAGGATATAGTGGCTGCTGTGAATCCTCTCTGTGATGCATTCTTATCAGCACCCTGCCTCATGCAAGCGCAGACAACGTGTAATTTCATTACTTTGTAGCTCAGCTTTGCAAACCTCATAGCAAATTGATGCCTAGAGTTGACTTCATGGAGGAAGATGGGTTTTGGGGGAGGATTTGGAGGCGTGAGCTCAGAGAGATAATATTGCAGCTTTACTTCTGCAGACTGAACAATCACAGTAATTTCCATATAATTTTCAGTTATCGGTTTCTTCCAAACTTAAGTTTGTACAGTCACTTGAAGAACCATTTGTCCTTGCAAGTAAAAATTCCCATCCCCACGTGCAGGCTCAGAAAACTGATGAAATGTAGGTTCACTGCAGTCCAACATCCAGGCATTTCATCCACCCAGGGGTATGAATGAAGACATCCCCCTGAAATTTCCCAGATTCAAGTTAATTCAATCAGCAGAAAACCACAAAGTTTCCAATGGCTATTATATGCCTTAGATAAGAAATATTCTTGCAGTTTGTGCTGTAAATGAGTAAACAGAGCTGCCTGAAAGTGAGGTCTCAAGGATGGGTGTACTGAAACTGGGTAAGCAGAACTACCTGAAAATGAGATTTCAGCAACGAGTGCTTGATTTTGCATGCCTTAACAGATGGGTTTTTCTCAAAGCTTTGTCCCACAGAAAATCCACTGGTGTAGACCAGACGTGCCTGGGTTTGGTGCATTGACCAAATGTGCCTGGTTTTAGTTCATTGACCAAATGTGCCTGGTTTTAGTTCATTGACCAAATGTGCCTGATTTTGCTCCACTGGCCAAATGTGCTTGGTTTTGGTGCGTTTACCAAATGTGCCTGGTTTTGGTGCACTAATCGAATGTGTGTTGTTTAGTTGATTGATCACATGTGCCTGGGTTTGATGTCTGGAGAGGCTCCAGGAGCAGGGGCTGGGCAGGGTTCAAGGAATAAAGCAGGGATCCATTAAAAGCCCTTCCAAGGATGCACCTTGGGCACTGCAAGAGCCCGGCCCTGGCTGCAGCCAGGACGGCTCAGGAGTTTCACCCTTGGATCACTTTGGTCCATCCCCAGCTGGGGGTGAATTGTGCAATTGCAGCTGCAGGGGATGCAGTCCCATCCTCCCAGCTTGCTCTCCTCAGCTGGGGGCTGTTTGTGCTTTTTGGGCCCAAAGCTGCAGCGCTGCCCTTGGCTGTGGGGCTGGGAAAGGATTGTTGTGTGTGCCTGAGCTGTGAGGAGAGCTTGCTGTCACTTTGTGTGGAGTTCAGAGTCACACACCAGGGCAGGGCACAACCTGGGAACGCTGAAAGGCAAAACCTAAGGCATCATTTTTGGTGCACTGACAGCGCTGTGCTTTGTCTGTCTGCTGCAGACACGGAGACCTGTGACTACGGCTGGCACAAGTTCCAGGGGCAGTGCTACAAGTACTTCGCGCACCGGCGCACGTGGGACACGGCGGAGCGGGAGTGCCGTCTGCAGGGAGCACACCTGACCAGCATCCTGTCCCACGAGGAGCAGATCTTCGTCAACCGTGCGTACCCACCGCCTTCCTCTGCCTCACACCTCGGGTGCCACAACACCAGGGAGATCTGAAGGTGTCAGGGAGTGTCCAGAGGAGGGAGTGGAGATGGGGAAGGCTCTAGGCAGAAGCTGAGGGCACTTGGGCGGTTCAGTTGGAGAAGAGGAGACTGAGGTCACACCTCATTGTGGTCCCCAGCGTCCTCTGGGGGGTATCTCTGATCTCTGCTCCCTGGGGCTGCGACAGAACCTGAGGGAATGGCCTGAAGTTGTGTCAGGGGAGGGTTGGGTTGGATTTTAGGGAAAGGTTCTTCCCCCCGAGGGTGCTGGCACTGCCCAGGCTCCCCAGGGAACGGGCACAGCCCTGAGGCTGCCGGAGCTCCAGGAGAGCTTGGACACCACTCCAGGGATGGCCAGGGTGGGGTTTCGGGGTGTCTGTGCAGGGCCAGGGGCTGGACTGATGATCCCTGTGGGTCCCTTCCCAGTCAGTATATTCTGTGACTGTAAACAAGACAGATCACTGAGGGTTCAGAGATGGTGAGATCTCCTCCACACCACTCAGCTGTTACATCTCCAACGTAAAACATACTTTTAGAATGTTTAAAGGGCACACTTTGTGTTATAAATGTTTGCTTCTGCAGTTAATACAAGTTCTCTCTCACTATTAAGTTATTATTTGTTAAGCAGAAAATACTTTTTGTGGGGGAGGGATGAAAACAGGAACTTTTGCTTTGGCATTAAAAGTTTTTGAAGCACTTTTTTTCCACAGACTTAAGGTATTTTCTGCATATGACATCAAGCCAATACCACCATATATCATGTTAGATAGGCATAAAAAAATAACTACTGTGTTGTATTGTAAAATTTAGACAACACTGGTCACTGCCTAACCAAAACTTGAAAAAAATGTGGATTAGAATATGTGATTTTAATATTTTTCTTTTCTTCTCCTCATATGCTCTCAGGTAGGAAATTAATTCTCTTTGCCTTGGTAGACATCACAGGCAGTAAAGAGATGGGGTCATTTAAAACTGTTAGGTGAGAATCTGCATTTTTATACACATCCCAAATTAAAACCAAAAAGCTGAAAAAGACCAGTCATTAGCACAAAGAGAAGAACAATTTTAAGAACAGGATGTCTGATTCATTCCACATAAAATAATTTTCTCTGGTGAAATCTCTTCCATTTATGGGAAGGTTAATAAAAATACCCTTCTGGTTCCCTAGGTATTGGCCATGACTACCAGTGGATTGGCCTCAATGACAAGATGTTTGAGCGTGATTTCCGCTGGACTGATGGTAGCCCACTGGTAAGATGCCTTCAAGCTGAAATCACTCACTCATTTCTTTTTGTGGTGGCTTATCAAATTCCCACTAGCAATGAGGGAAGCTGAAAAAAACCCCCCAATACAAACAAAAAACAGCCAAAAACCCCCCCTGTCACTAAATATGGACCCAAGCAAACAGGCAGTAAATTCATTTTGGGACACCTAATATTTTGTGGTTTAGCTCTAAGGTCTTGTTCTTAGTTCCTGTTATTGTATGTGTGGGAACTCTTGAAGGTTTCAAACAGAAATACGCAAAAATCTGAGACTGTGGTAACTTAAGGGTCTCTGCTGGAGCTGGTTTGAGATCTTCTTGCCTTGTGCAAGGCCATGTGTGGCAATTTTCACTCACTCAGGATGCATTTTTGGGTGATGATCTGGCATTCTTGCCTTTGCTGGCTCTCTGGGGTGCACAGAGGAGTCTCACAAGTTTTTCTGCAACCTTCCCTGTGCGGCAGCTCTTAGCCTGGTTCAGGAGGCCTGGAACCCATAATTCACCCATAAAATTTTAAGATGCTGTTGATACCTCTTGCTGACTTAAAACCAAAAGTACTACCAGCCAAAGGAGAGGGGGAAATCATCTTCACCTGCCATCAGCAAACCTAAACCAAAGAGCTGATGGACATAGGAAATGATCAAACCCTTCAAAATAATCTCTTCTGTAGGAGGAACAGGTGATGTATTCGCTGTTGAGCACCCAGTGAAGAACCCTGCATGCAGAAGAAGCCCAAAGCAGTTATTATTTCCCCTCCCAATTGTGAACTTTTAAATCAGAGAGCATCAGGACACACCTGTTGCTGCTGCAGACCATGTGGCTGCAGCTGGTGTAGAAAGACACCTGGGGCAAGGTTCATTTATTGCCATTCCATGTAAATAACCAGAGCCTTGAAGTGCTCTGGAATGGTTTATAAATGAGACATTTCTTGGGGACACGGCTGTGAGTGGCAGGTGAGAGCAAAGAGGGGGTGGGAAATGGTGGTGGAATTTTCTGCTGTCTCACTGGTGGCTCAGGGTGTCTTGGGTGGTACCAAGGCACTCACTGGTGATTCCAGACACCAAGTGAAAAAAAAGAGATAAATGCCTTTATATTCCAAAGACAGAGCTGTTGTGCCACTGATGAATCACTCTAGTGGAAGGTGTTCCTGCCCATGGTCCCTCCCAGTCCAAACCATTTTATTATTCTATGAATTTGAGGAAATTAAAATTAGAGCTGAGATCCTATTTTTTTTAATTTTTTTTTTTTATTTTATTCAAGCTACTGACTAAATGGGACATAATATTTTTATTGTAATTTTCAATTTTAAGGAATTAAGATATTCTAGGAACAGAGTGGTACCATCTGTCCAACAGATTTCTGTTTTGATTGATCTTTTCTCCCACCTTATTTTTCTTTCATTTTTAACAACTTCCCTCTGCCTCTTCCTTCGGAAACAATTTAGGTGTCTCTTGAAATCATTTATGTTCATTGCTCCAATAGATTTTCCTCATAACTTATTCCATATGGTTTCTGGAACCCATGGTGCTCAGCAGCTGCCTCATTTGTTCCTTTTTCCCTGGCTTTTAACTTATTTCTCATACTTTCTAACCACTCTTGTTGTTGCAGTGATTTATTACCTCTCCAGTAATTAATAGGAATGATAACATAATTTAATATATGCATCCAATCTATTTTCCTGATGTTCTCCTAAAATTGCAGTGAATTTGAATACTGTGCAGGTAGAAAATTTGCCTCTTTTATGTGTATGCAAGTAAGCAGAATTCATGATGTCTGGGAATGCATTAGCATAATTTGTGATCATAAAAATCAGCATTATTACACCAACACTTGGGTTTCTAAATTGAATTTCTGAGTTTAGAGGTGCTTATTGAATCTCTGAGTTTAGAGATGCTTATCTTGCTTATATCCAAAATTTAAATAGCCTTGTCATGTTTTATGTATCAGGGTGCATCCGTATTCAGCTGTTTCTAAATTTGTTTCCCAACTCTATGCACTCTCCAAAAGAATATTATCTATTCACAATTCTTGTCAACACTTCTGGCATGGAGGAAAATTTGTCAAGCCTGCTGGGGATCCCCTGATATCAGTTTTCTTGGAGATACCATCAGAAAAGTGATTGTGCAGCTACAAGTGGTGCACATTCATCTTTATCTTGATGCTTCTTTGATTTTTTTTCCAATAACAGCTTGGTTCAATCCAAAAAATCATGCTTGCAGGACTTTGTGAGGTTTTGTGGATTAAAATGAAACCCCTAACAGTTCTGATGCTCTGTAGACTTAAAAGAAAAAGAAAATTAGCAACAAAAACAACATCAGGGCATGTTGTGGGTGACAAGCTTCTCTTTCACATGCATTTTCTTTCCTAACCAAAACAAACCCCTAGAATTGGGAATTGGGAATGCTGGAAACACAAGCTCCACTACTGGAGACACAGAAAAAGGTTTATATTACTTGGGTATTCATTACCCACCAACACAAGGAAACCAACAGAAATATCCAGCACACTGACAGCAAGCAACTCTGTTGCCAGATATTTTATTGGCAATTTTGGGAAAAGGGATAAAATACCATTTTAATTCCTTTTTTTTTTCTTTGCACCTAAAATGTTTTCCAACCAACGGGTTCAATGGAAGGAAATTGTTATTTTTTTTTTTTACATTTTCAGCCCCTGACAAGTTGTGTTTTTCCAGATTTTTTTAAACTGAGGCCAAAAGCCAGCCACCATTAAACATGATATTTGGGCAATGCATGTAAATGAGAATCTAGAATTGAGGTTCTTACTGGGAAACCTACACTGAAACTTAAGTAGCCTTGACAGACTTTCAGCCCTTCTGAAAAAAGATTAGTAAACTAAGTATAGTCAGCCACTTTGATACCTTGGAATTCTTCCTTTTTCACCCCTATAGAAAATATTATCTGTTAACAATTCATCAAAACCAGCAGCAGCAGACAAAAAAAACCAACAGCCCAAAAACCCCTGTGTTCCTGTGCACATTTTTTGTGCTTGAACTGGAATTTATGTTGAACTTGGAAAAATAATGCCAGTAAGCAGGTTTTGGGAAAGATGAAGAATGATCTTGCAAATTCACCCTCTGGCCCTCAGAATTCCCAGAGGAAAACTCAACTCTTGAGTAATGAAGTGAGTACAATCAAATTCAATGAGAAAGCGAGAAACAGTATTTATTTCTCTGCCCACATGATTTTTGTCCATATTTGCAGAGTCTGCCTGTTTTCCATAAAAAAAAACCCAAAAAACCAAAACCAACCTTTTAGGACTAGAAAAATTATCCCTATGAAATAGAAACAGACCCACTCCTAAATCACAATATTGGAGGAGGTGTTTTGATCTACCTGACTGAAATCGTCTCTGATGATTTCCGTCATTATAATCAAATTATCTCTGAGATTTCAGCGGGGGTTTGGCAAGTTTATTTCTTAACTGCAAAGTGGTTTTAATTCAGAACTAGTTAGCAGTTTCCTGCCTTTCAGGATAAATGTCACAATCTTGTGCAGATGAAGCCTCACCATCTGCTGGTAAAACACACATTTTCAGCTTGTTGTACCCACTGCAACCCAAACACAGACTGGGCTAGAGAAGACCAAAATTACTTGGATAAAGTGGTTGTGTCCCACCTCTCATGGCCTAAAGTTTAATTGCCAGCTCAGTGACACTTCCCATAAAGAAAATGGTTTTCAGGTAACTGCCCTATCATTACAGGATTTTTTTCTTGGCCAGATGAATTTGCTTATATTTGTCTGTCTTTTTTTTTGAATTTTCTTTAAAAAACAAATTGGGATCTTCTTGGCTAAGGCCAGAAGTTATCTTGAAAGCTCTCCTTGGCTAAGTTTAGGGCACATTGTCCAATAAGCAGAATAAAAAAGGCTATAATTGCAGTAAGCTGTGGGATCCAGTGGCTGCTCACATCTATCTGTTCTCTTCTGATTTGCTGTGCTGTACCTGGGTGTCAGGGAACAATCTTTTCTCATCTACAGTGTGCCCCTGCTCCTTTTTTTTATTATTATTTTATTTTTTTAAATTCCACTTGTTTATTTATTTATTTTTCTTTTTTTTTTTGAAAGAAAGAACTTTTCAGTGTTTCTGTTGGTTGGAAGAGGTGGAATTCATGTTCTGGAGCTGATGAGCCACACAGAAAAACAATTTTTGGGCAAAACAACGCCACCTTTTCCTATATGAAGGGCAAGGAGTTGTTGGGATCTGTGTTGGTGCAGCAGAAAAAGCACATGCCCTTTCAGGAAACCCAGATCCTCACATGTTCAGTGGGAGCTGGAGATGAGGGGCCACTGGCACGAGGCTGGGCTGGGACTGGGAGCATCACCTGAGGTTGTGTGCCATGAGCAGGAAGCTGCAAACTTTGGCAAAGCTGCTTGGTCCCTGATTTCAGGTAATTTGTCCCAAAAGTGAAGGTGGTGAGAGCAGGCCTTGAGGTGTGCTCAGAGAACTCGCAGCACCCCAGCTCTTTTAGAGCTTTCTTATTCATTACTTCCTGAAAATCAAGCCAGTTTCTGCTCAGGAGGTTTCAGGTATGATTACATTGATTGATTCAAGAGGCAGGAGAGAGTAATATAGAGTTTTTCAGAGCATGTTTTGCTAGCTCTGCTTTTCTTCTGTTCAGGGTAGTTATAGGGCTGTTCTGTTTGCTTTGGTTTGGAAGAACATTATTTTCCCTCTGATTTACATTCTACAGTGCAATGGAAATGGCTATACGTAGTCTTTATTTACATTTAGAAAATTATAGAACTTAAATTGTTCTTGCACTTCACTAAGCAAGACTTTTTTCCCAGCATTTCTCTAACAGTGAACAGCTCTTTTAAAGTATCTATTAAAGACAATCTTCATCCCACAATTATCTATAGAGCTCTAAGCAGTAATAACAAACAGGTTTGGGAAAAAACCCCAGTGATGCAGGAGAAGGAAGCAAGGGCCAAACACTCACACAACTGTGTGAGCAGAGGAATTTGCCTGCTTG